GTGCAGTTCCCAAGACCTGGCATCAGTGAATGTACAAGTGATAAACTGGGATAACCGAATGGCTATATGTACACTTCATTAATTCACCAATTATTTATTGAACTCCAGGCATGTTCTACAAACCACTAAGTACAGAATTTTCAATTGATTGTGCTATTACGAAACTATCCTGGTTCTGAAATAAAGAAAACTAGAATGGATCTATTTTAGTTGAGTCATCAAGGAAGTACTCCCTAAGAAGTAGGAAGTCAGTTGAGAGCTGAAAGATAAGAAGACATCATGACAGTGTTCCAGAGAAGGGTAACTATATATGTAAAAGATTCTAAGTCAGAGATGAATTGTTGAAAGAATTAGAAATGTTTGAAGGACAAAAATAAGATAACACAGTGGTCAATGAGGGAGACTAACATGAAATGAGACATGAACAAAATCTCTAGACCATGGGAGAAGTCGTTTCTTGGGTCTAAAAGTGCACTATTAAACTAGCTAATGTTTATGAAGATCACTTTGGCCAATATAAAGCCAGAGATCAAAAGAGTAGGAGTCAGTAAGAGGGTTCATATTCGGTGATAATTGTACTATGTGACACATGATGAAGGCTTAGACTGGGCTGGCAGCAGTGTAGATTGGAAACTGACTGGAAATACATTTTGGAAGAGGAATCAAGGAATACCTTGCTATGGTAAATCAAGAGGAGTTATCAAGAGTGACTCTAAGCCTGGACATGGTTGTACTCCTAGGACTCAGGAGACTGAGATGAAGGGATCAAAGTTCAGAACCAGCCCTTGTAGAAAAGTCCTCTAGACTCCTTTTCCAACTAACCAGAAGAGTGCTGGACTGGAGCCATGGCTCAAGATATAAAATGCTAGCAGTGAACACGGTAAAACAGGGTATGAGGTTTAAGTTCAAGTCAAGCCCTGGTACCACCAAAAAAAATGTAGTAACTCTTAGGTTTCTGACCAGAGCCACAGATGGTGCCATTTATTTAAATAGAAAGTCTAAGAATGGAAAGGTTGGAAGATGTGTTGATTATAAGAATGAAGAGTTTTTAATTTTTTATTTAGAATAATCCAAACAGTAGCTTCAGGTGATTGCTTGTGTGTATGTGTGTGTGTGTGTGTATAAGAGAGAGAGAGAGAGAGAGAGAGAGCGTGTGTGTGTGTGTGTGTGTGTGTGTGTGTGTGTGTGTGCTGAAAGGAGTGGATTAGAAGGCTTCACTATATTATATAGATGGCATTTAAAGCGATGGAAAAAGAGAATATAAAGAAAAGAGGTCCAGAATCAAACTGTTAACATGCCAATAACCTCAGTGATCTCAGCTGTTATTTAAAGGATCTGCCAGTAAACAGATATAAAATGAATTTTGGCATGGTGAGAAAGGAGGAAGGGAGAACAATTAAGGATCCATTGTCTTGGAACAGCTGGTGGGTGATGCAGGCCTAGTCTAGAGTGAAAACTGATCGTTTTCTTCATACATCCTCTCTGATGGCATTCTCATATTATCTAATTTCAACTAATGCCTCTAGATCTGCATTTAAGTCCTAACATTTCCATGTGCTTGATGAAAATCTTACTCTGATTGCCCCCACTAGAACCTCAAGCTTAAAGATTAAAATCTAGTTAATTTTTCCAGCTACTTGCTTAGTTTTCCTTCTATTCTTACCCCCGTAACTGAAATGAAGAGATGGATTGCTCACTGTTTTGTTCTCTTTCTATTTCTTTAATGAGTAAACTATACAACATAAGTATATCAGTTATACATCTTTAATATTAATCATGCTAAGTTTCTATATGTAAAATGCAGTTACTTACAAAAGCATCACTATTATCACAGGTAAGAGTGAAATAGTTTTAGCCAGAGAAACTGTTACCTTTTTTTTTTTTTTTGGCAGTCGTGGGGCTTGAACTTAGGGCTTGGGTACTATCCCTGAGCTCTTTTTCTTAAGGCCAGTGATCTACTACTTTGAGGCACAACTCTACTTCAGTTTTTTTGTTGGTTGATTGGAAATAAGAGTCTCACAGCCCTTCCTGCCCAGGCTGGCTTTGAATTGGGATCCTCAGATCTCAGTCTCCCTTGTAGCTAGGATTACAGGTGGAGCCACTCCCCCTCCTTTTTTAAAGGACTTTATTTCCCTCAACGTTATCTTTTAAAATTTTATCTTTTGTCTAAGATATGGTATGAGAAAATTTTAAGACAGTTTGTAGAGAGATTTAGACTGGTAAAGCTATTCAACCTTAGCTGGAGGAACTACTTTTATTAGTACATGTAAGAGTGAATCACTGAAAGTAGAGATGGGAATAGAGATGGATAGGAAAGACCTAAGCCATCTAATTCATCTTCAGATTAGGCAGGGAAGTCTCTATGACAAATGCCTTTGAAATATTATGCAGTAAAAGTCTTATGTTACATGGGGCGCTGGTGGCTCATGCCTATAATCCTAGCTACTCAGGAGGCTGGGATCTGAGGACCACAGTTCAAACCCCAAGAAAGCTCATGAGACTCTTATCTCCAATAAACCACTAGAAAACCAGAAGTGATGCTGTGGCTCAAGTGGTAGAGTGCTTAGCATTGAGCTGAAGAGCTGAGGTACAGTGCCCAGACCCAGAGTTCAAGCCCCATGTCTGACAAAAAAAAAGTTTTATATTACAATGTTTCAATCATTTTTGTAAGATGACTATCTTCAGAGTTGTTTTCAGCTTTGTTCTCTGAACTCCTTTCCACATATCCCTGTCAGATGAGCCAAGCCCTCACTCTGTACATAGGTGTGGATGAGGACAACATGAGGCTGAATATTGGTTAGTTTTCCATAGGGATGATGAGTCTAGCTCACTGCCTTTTTGTGACTGGTTTCACACATGTATTATTCACAAAGAGCCATGGTTCAACATGTTGCCTATAGTGGTTTAAAACTAGCAGAAATATCTGTGTGTTAAACATCTTCCTAACAGCATTGGGTTTCTGGTGGAATATTTGGTATATAGGATGCCAGCCTCATTGTGCTAATAGCATTGCACTGAAAGGGAGAGGGTAGCATTTGGGAGGAGTATCTTTTGAAATTCTTTAACTGTTCTTCAATATCTCTCATCTCATTTATCACATAAGAATTTGTATGATCTTTAGAAACTGATAGTCTAGTGTTTTTCTAATCATTGACTCTGTATGCAGCTTTAGCCTTTTAAAAAGTATTCTTCATACATATTATTTCTGTAATTCATGGGGTTTGTATAATCCTTAGCACTTTTCTATATGTGACATTAACATCCTGCGTACCTCTTCTACATCAGTAAAAAAAACACTAGATTTGGCATTTTCTTTGTGTCTTCCCACAAGCTAGACTATCTCCAACTGAATATACTCAAAGTAATTTTTGGTGTGTGTGCTTGGGATCAAACCTAGGGCTTCATGCATGCTGGATAAAGGTTTTACTACTGAGCTACAAACTCAGCCAGACCCAAATATAATTCTAAATTCAACTTAACTATTTTTATGTAAGCCAATTGATTTGAATAAGGAAAGTTCAAATGAATAAATAACTAGATGAAAGTTTGGAAATAAGTTCAGAAACTCCACTTACATAACTATAGTAATATTAATGTTTCTTTAAGTTCTTTCTTAGGAATTTTTAACTAGTTGTTTGTGAGAAGCAAAGACATTGGTATTCTAAATTATTTGAGACCTTACTTTTAAAGCTACCCATTTTCTTTACAGAATCTTAATTTGGCCTTTTAATTGTCTCCCACATTACAACACTTACTCTTTCTCCTTAGTTGAGTCTATAAAACTAGAGAGTAGAAAAGTATTCTTAGTTGGATGTGAATATGAAGAATAAGTCAATCAGTCAGGTGGAAAATTCTATGAGATTCCATATCCAAAGTAACCAGCAAAAATCTGGGCTAGAGGCACAGCTCAAGTAGTAGAGCACAAGTAGTAAGCAAGCATGTTGAGTGCAAGTTTGAGGTCCTGAGTTTAAGCCTTGGTAGAATAGAAGGTCACATCTAACTTGACATTTGTTACATGTTATAGAATTCTGGTGACTATCCAAAAGCTGGCTCACATCTTTTTTCTGGGGAAAATATGTAATGTAATTGTCAGTAGAACCTTTCATGTTTATCAGAAAATGTTAGTGGCTATGCTTGAATTCAGTGAAGCCAGGAGAGAAAATAAGAGTCCTCTGGCTCATGCTATAGGAAAAGTCAGCATTGCTAACTCCCATTGACCATGGGCAAGCCTACCCCAAGGAGATTTCATTATCAAGCTCATCTGGTCTTCTAGGGGACCCTGAAACCACAGAGATTATAACAGCTGCAATAAATAAAGCATCTGTTCAATGCATTTCCATGCCAGATATTATTCAGCATTCTTTTGGCTTGGTTTGATAAAAAAAAAAACAGCATGATGAACTTACTGCCTTACTTTATAGTGAGCCCCAGTAACTATGAAAGATTTAACTATTCGTGCCTGTATATGAGTAAATTGCAATGCTTTGACTTAAATTTATTAATTTAATAAAAATATAAAAACATCTCTCTCTACTATTGAAAACTTACTTGAATTAATTTAGGCTTAATTTTTTTTCTCAGAGAGAAAATAGAGGAACATGCAGACTACCTGTACTGTATATATTCCAATGCTTAGGTTCGAAGGGACATTTAAAAATAAATATTACATATGTGACAATGCAAGGGAAAATATTATTAAGAAACCTCAACAGAATTTTTATGTAAATCTTATCATACAGTATTATGATCTCAGGGAAATTTTGTAATGTTTACTGAGTCTTCTGAGAGTTCATTTATTCAAGTCATATTTTAAGGAAGAACTTATAAGATTCAGATCTAAAATATAATTCTGTAATATGCCCAGCTGATCCCATTAAATCCAACCCAAAAAGGAAAGGTATAATGATGTGAACAATTCCCATTCTTTGAGTTGTTACACCTCACTTGAAATGCATTCCTTCTGGATTAAAACAGCAGCTTTTCTTTGTTTCTCTCTCCAGGCTGAGGTTCAACTATGCTACCTGGAAGCACAAAGAGATGCTGTTGAGCAGATGTCCCTCAAGTTGTACAGTGAGCAGTATACCAGTAGCAGCAAGAGAAAAGAAGAGTTTGCTGATATGTCAAAAGTTCATTCAGTAGGAAGCAATGGGTAGGAGACTATTCTTTTTGTTGTTTTATTCTCACTAATCTACTTTTTCAATGACTTTCCACTGGTAGGTGTCAGGCAGTTGTTTCTTTCCTAGCTAAGAGACAAGAAAAACCTCAATAGACCAGTCATTTATTTCTTATCCATTTGTGCCAGAATTGAAGACTAGATTTTATCAGCCTCTGTCATCTAACTCAGAACTTCTGAAATCTAACATTATTCTACTTTTTCAAAAACAGCCTTGTGGTTTTGCAAGTATATTTGCAATTCTATGGTATCTATAATATTCATCTATTTATTTCGTGCATCAAGAATTGCATTCAGTCTAAGACATATGGATGTGTGTGTATAGTAATAACCATCCTTACTATTCAGTAATTAAGTCCTGAATTCACATATTTCTGAATGTCTTTAAAATTATGCAAATGTAATGTATTTATGGCTTTTTCTGGGTCAATTTTAGTATTTAACAAATGATTATCGAAGAGTGAAAGAGTAGTAATTGAATTTAACTAGTTTTAATAAGTTGATAATAGTCATATATAGAGAGATATATATAAATGGAAACAGGAATCTGTTTCACTTTATACTTAAGGCAGCAAGGAGTACAAACATCAAAAGTTACATTCCAAGTTTGTGAAATGACATGAACCTGAAGTCTGTAACTCTAGACAGAATATTCTCTGAAAATGCCATAAAGAAATAAGCCTTTTCAAGTACTTGTGTGGATTTACCTTCTTGAGTCCTCATAGTTCTGACTGTACCTACAATTCCTATAAAAACTTAGGGTTTAAGAATACAGTGAAATAGTTCACAGTCACAATTTTGTTTAGAAAATAAGAAAAGAGCTTTAGAAATTTTGAATATACATATCTTGTGTTGACCTATCAGTTTATTTTCGATACATGCTAGATATGTAATTGATTCATCTTACTTGACTCAGGAGACTTTTTATTCACCAGAGAACATCATAGCTATAAAAGAGAAAAGGTTAAATCTCAGAGCACAAACAATAAGCTGTTCTGAGACGTTCATGTGCATTAAGTTTTCCAAATGTCTAAATAGTCTCTGGTGTACATGCAAAAAATGAACAAACACATTTTCAAGTTTTTTTCAAAAGCCCTGGGGATGGAACAGTACCAAGTACTTCCGACCCCAGATTCCATGGACTCAACCTGAGTATGTACTGTGGCCTCCACAATCATAAATCTGCCCTGGGAATTGCTTAGTTAACAACAAGCATTGTGTGGTGAAAAGGGAGTAGGTGAACTTGCCTGATATCCTTTGTTTATATTCCTTGGGGTGCTGAAGGCTTTGCATTGTGCAGAAATTTAAGGGTACACTGGAGAAAAGCCAGCTATTTAATAACTAAGGACACAAAAACATATACTCCTTTTCATTTTCTGTTTACATACAGAAAAGTATTGTTTGAGAAATGCACGTGGGTGAGGTTATCTGGGGTATCTTGCCCCTAAGACTTTGCTCTCATAGCCAAAACCTTCATTCTAGAAACTTAAGGTCATGTTCTTCTGAAACTATCTGTTACAATGATACATAAACTTCATTAATGGCTCCTTTTGCTACATAGAATGAGTATTGTTTTCAATAATAAATGTGGGAATAGTGTAGGCTTTCTAGAGTCCCAGGTTCTCATAGAGATATCCAGTATTCTAAAAAGAAAATTAATCTTGTAGTAAAGTTCATCTATTTTATTTCTTCCCAGTGTCTATATACCTGCTAAGAAGATTATACTATTGTAGTCAAAAGTATGTAAGATTATTCAGGGAAGGCTTGACTGCTACTTAAAATGCTGATTTTAAATTTCTAAATATTTTATATGATAAAGTATTTATTTAAAAATAAATTTATAGCTCCTCTAGCTTAATAATATGTTGATCAAGGTTTATACCCAACTGTGAATTGCATGGTTAACAGTCCTATATAGATATGGTGGGAAGATTTCCCTGAATGCCTGTAAGGCTGTCAGAGCTCTAGTCACACTGTGTGTGGACCCTTAGTATAGACTCTGCCATAACAAAGGGAATCAGGGCTCTTACGGGACCTATGGTATGTGAGTCTCTGTAAGAGATTTCAGTGCTTTTTACTTAGGTAAAAACATATCAATTGTTTTGTTTCTCTTATCTAATAAATATTCATTGAGGGCTATACTATGTGTATAGCATGAAACTCTGATCATCATTTGTCAACATTTTATAAACTTAACTATCTCTTTTCCAGACCCTTTTTCAAGAGGTTGTCTGAATTTAGTTTTCAAATGCATTTCAAAATATAGTTTAAATCATTTTGTAGCACTCTACTTGTTGACAAACTTAATGTAAGTTAACAACTATGTTTTTAGTTCAGTATATAAATTAGGAAATTGAGAGGCAAATGGCTGAATGTCTCACTTACCTGAAGAAGAAGCTTTTAGGAAGAGCTAAGTCCAAATCAGAGTTCCGGGTCAAGAATACAGGACTTCTAGTATGACAGTGTATATTTGTAATCTCAGACTTAAGAGATTGGAACAAGAGTATAATGAGTCCAGGCCTGCTGGGGTTACATGGAGAGTTCTTGGCTAAGAAAATAAAATGAACGGGCTGGGAAGGTGGCTCAGTGGTAGAGAGCTTGACTTGCATGCCTGAGGCCCTGGGTTCAATTCCTCAGCACCACATAAGCAAAAAGAAAAAAGCCGGAAGTGGCGCTGTGGCTCAAGTGGTAGAGTGCTAGCCTTGAGCTGAAGAGCTGAGGGACAGTGCCCAGACCCACAGTTCAGGCCCCACGACCGGACCCCCCCCAAAAAAGAAAAGAAAATGAACAAAAAATACAATACTGATTCTAAAAAGTCATAGATTGCCCTCTCTCTGAGGATTCCAACGTATCCATCATAAAGTGTACACTAAATCCTGTTTTTTAATATTTTGCAGTATATTAAAAGTAAATTAGCATATATTCCTAGTATGGAAATATTAGTCTTAAGGAGATTTCACAAAACTACCAAGAAAGCAAGGTGCTAATGGTTTACACCTACAAATCGAGCTACACAGGTGGCAGGGATCTGAAGATCAGGGTTTCAAGGCCAGTCTGGGCAGCAAAATCATGAGAGTATTATCTGCAATTAGCCATAAAAATTGTGAAAGTGGAGCTCGTTCTCAAATGGTAGAGTGTCAGATTTGAGTGAAAAAGCCAAGCAAGAGCTCCAGGTTTTGAGTTCAAGCCTCAGTACTGGTACAAGGAAAGGGATGTACAAAGCCACCAGGAAATTCAGGCAAAACACTGTACAGCAAGTTTTAAACAAAGCTAAGCTGGGTGTAGTGGCACAGACCTGAAGCTAGCCATTCAGGAGGTGGGTCAGGAGAATCATCTGAGCCCAGGAGTAGCCTGGGCAATACAATGTCGTGTATTGAAAAAATAGAACAACAGCAATAACACCTCAAGCAAAAATTAACTCACCCGTCAATTTGAGAAACATTTTAAAGTAACTTTTTTATGTCAGACTTTGTATGAACAAGGTACAAATAAAATATCTCTATCATTGAGAAGTTCACAGTTTGATAAGAGAAGCTAGATCTGTGAACAAAATGGGGGGAAAAAAGAACTTGAAGTACTGAATTAGAAATCTATGTGGGTTAGGGGCAAGCTCACTGAAGACAGAGCTCAATTCAGGTCAGAAAAACAATAGAAAGAGAGTCCTGGAGATTTGTTGGTGGTGGTGGTCATGTGTCATGGGGCTTAAACTCAGGCCTTGGGTGCTGTTCCTGAGCTTTTTTGCTTAAGACTAGTGCTCTACCACTTTGAGCTTCAATGCCACTTCTAGTTTTCTGCTGGTTAATTGGAGATAAGAGCTTCACAGACTCTCCTGTCCAGGATAGCTTTGAACCACAGTTCTCAGATCTCAGCCATCTGAGTAGCTGAGATTTACAGGCGTGAGCCACTGGTGCTGGGCTTTGGATATGCCTTTTGAAAGACGGTTACAACAGGGAAAGAACTTTCCATTTTAATTAAAAAATTGCTTATTATTGTTAGGGGGAGTTTTGTAAATCATTCTTTAAGTAGTTGTACAAAGGGAGTTGCCATTTAGCAAAGCAATTTATGAATAAAATATATATTAATTTCACCCTTTCGTATTCTCACCCATTCCTCCCCTATCCACCCTTCCCTCACTCTTGCTAATTTTGTAGGATATACAAAATTACAAAAAAATTCTTAAAATTTTTATGTGTTTTTTATTGTAAAAATACTGTACAGAGGTGTTAGTTACATGAGTAAGGTAATGAGTACATTTCCTATCAAGCATTGTTACATCCTCCTCTGTTCTTCCCATACCATCCCTTCCTTGCCACCTCTCCAACTCCTCCCTCCCTGCCCCCCCACAAAAGTTGTAAAGTTTATTTTCTACATAGTGTCTTGTACATCTCATTGTTACAATGGGTCAACCTGTATCCTTATTTCAGCATTTTGTTATTTCCCTTCCCCTCCCCAAATTAGAAAAATGTATATACATGATTCAGGGCACCAACATCAAATACAGTGAAAACAGAGGTTATACTGTGGGAGAAAAACATACAAGAGAAACAAAAAAAATCCCATACTACATTTTAAATACATTAAAAACAATAGAGGGCTGGGAAGGTGGCTCAGTGGTAGAGTGCTTGCCTTGCATGCATGAGGCCCTGGGTTCAATTCCTCAGCACCACTTAAGCAAAAAAGAAGAAAGCCGGAAGTGGCACTGTGGCTCCAGTGGTAGAGTGCTAGCCTTGAGTTGAAGAGCTGAGGGACAGTGCCCAGGCCCAGGCCCAGGCCCCATGACCAGACCCCCCCCTAAAAAAAAACAATAGAAAGAAAAAAACACTTGTGTCCCTATCTTGGGATTCATTTCACTTAACATCATCTTATATGGTCATATGTATGGAGATTTTGAACTTTTCAGCTTGACCTAGACTTATACTAGTTATTGCAAATAAGGAAAGCATGGGACCTATGTTTCTTTGGCCCTGGCATACTTC